CCAATATCTTAATTCATTATAGAGAGCAGTTCGGTTTTTGGAGGTTCGTTATAGAGAGCATTGACCAGGTTGGGTGACGAAATGTCTCCTTTTCGTCACACGACGAAAATAAATGTGACGAAATAAGGTTTTTACACTTTGAGTAATTTGACGAAAATGACGAAATGACGAAACAATAAAATAAACCAAATATTTTCTAGATTTTAAATTATGGAGTAAATAAAATTCATGATGTCAAATTCTAATTTACCCAATTCACCAATTCCTTCTCAGTCATTATCATATAATATGAATTTGCAAACATTAAAATTAGGTAACATATCTGAAAGTTTATTTAACAATAATCATGAATTAGCTACAGGACATCCTGTGTTTGATGTATGGTTACACTCCATTAAAATAGTAATGAAGAAACATTTCAACAACCAGAATTATCATATGATTCTACAGATTTTGAAGAAAGCTATGAAACCTGCAATAGATGTGAAGCAGCAATTCATACTAAAATTTTGCGTACAAAAATTAAGTATTCAACCAAGAAACATGATTTACGATGTAAAAAATGTTTAAAATTAAATTTTTGTTTTAATTAAATCTGAATTTTATATTTTCGTCATCTTTATCACAATTTGACTTTTGACTTTATCCTTTGTCACTTTTCGTCACTTTCGTCACCCAACCATGGCATTGATTGTATATACTATTTGATATGAAGATTGTTACTTGAATTATTTTTGGTGATCTGTAAGGCTTAATATTTATCATAAAATGAGTCACATTATAATAAATATAGAAAAAAATTTTTTTTTAATTAAGTATTCTAATTAGTATTGCGGTGATAGTCACCATCGGTGAAATAGCAATCCCCATGTAAAATTTATGGATTTTACATCACAATAATTAATTTCTTCTATAATGAGTATTCCGTCACTTGTAAATTTCATCGTTCCTAATTAATTTCGTAATCATGTATTAAGTTTTTGGCAAAGCAATTACCATCCCATGTATAGTTGGCCCACAATTTAATATCACACACTATTATAATCATAATCACTTATGGTACATCAATAGTAAAAAATTTAATTGAATCATTCAAGCAAGATGTGATGCAGACACAATTATTTATCACAACAGCAAGGGTTAGACTCTATGCTTGTAAGATTTTTTATTTAAAATTAATTAAATTAAAAGATAATACAGTAATATTATTATAATGATATCAGGAAAAGGGGAGACGAATGTAAAGTGATAAAGATTGGTTATTCTATACATAACTATTAATATACATAATGATGTATATGTGAATGTTAATTAATTAAGTCAAAAGGAATTCAAAAGGTAGTGGCGATAGATCCTCTATGTTTGTTTCTAGTTGTTTATATGATTTATTATTATTGTTAGTTATTTTTCTTTTTCTAAACCATCATCTGATAATTAAAATATGTAAATCTTTTGATAAAAGTAAATCTTTTTTTGAATATATATATTTAAGTATAAAATAAATTAGGAGTATTACTAATATTCCATGCTATATTAGACTGAAATTCAACTTGATAAATATATTTTTTTAGATAATAAAATTTTTGATTTGTTACCTTTAGCATTATCTTGAAATTTGGTTCATATGATTCTAAAAATAATATAAATAATTATGAATAAATTCCTCATAATAAAAGTCAAAATTTTCCAATAGAATCTTTCGAGTGATTATAAACGACTTTGTAAAGAACAATTTGAAATAATTATTACTATTACTGTTGAGTTTGCTTTATTCTGCACGCCAGTTAGAAGAAAATCTTAAAATTTGAAAAAAAGCAACATTTTGTAGCCTGGCGTAGAATAACCTGTAATTAAGTTAGACTCTTGTTTTAGAAGTCCTAGTTTGGCTCTAAAAATTTTATTAGTTCCAAAGGAACTCAGCAGATTTAGGGAGTGCTCAATTCATTTACGGGTAATAATATCACGGAAAGAAATTTGAATGAAAGGTATGAATTGACTTTTTACATTTATGGCTACTAATTTCTATGAATTAAAATCTAGTTAAGCAACAAAAAAATTTTTTAATACGAATTGATTCTTTTTTACATGCATGAAAAATGAGAATTGTAATTATTAAAAAAATATTATAAATACATATGAAAAAAAAATTTATTTTAAAAATAGCTTTAGAGATTTAAACAAATAGGAAAGGAAGTTTTTACGCTTTAGGCATTACTGGCTTCTATGTTGTTAACTTTGCTGAAATAACAGTAAAATTCATATTTGCACACCCTACTGGATTGTCATTAGGATCAATAACTAAATAATAATTGTTAATTATATTAGTAAATGAAAATCAAGTTAACAAATGAACTAATATAGACAAATGATAAAATGATAATATACCAAGAATAAGTTGTTGAAATTCAGCATCAGTTATATTAACAGTTAGGCGGGGAATGAAAGTGGCTTGTGTATAATTGAAATTGTAAGGGTAATAGGGATTATCAATGAAAGGTGAAGTTGTAGTAGTAGTAGTATTATTATAATCTTCATAATTGCTATTATCAAGTAAACATATTACGGTGAAGGTTGAACAGGAATCTGCAATGCTATTATCAATATCAGCACCATTATAAAAAGTAATAACTTTAATTTTGCTACCTTCTTTTATGAAGACGTTATTACTGAAGCCTCGATTTTTAGGGTGGAAGTTTTTCCTATAGTTGGCTCGGTCTAGAGACCTCCTAAATTTTGGGCAAATTTCAAAAGTATAGAATTCACTTTTTGTCCTACATTTTTAAAAAATAGCTCTATTATTTGATATAATATGACTTTAGTTTTTTTAAAAACATGTACTTTACTATGCTCGCGAGGAATTTGTTCACTATGATCATTTCTAAATTTAAACTAGATCTTGACTATCGTATCTAAATTTGGCATAAGAAATAGTTTTTTAAAATTAAAATCACGTGAAATCCTATTTTTTGAAAAATTTTGAATTACAAAATTGCTACTTTTTGAGATTTGGCCACATGGCACAGCAATGGGAGGTCGCAAACCATATAACAACTTTAGTTAGAGGTACAATCTAATTGGTTGTTGAAGGTATTATTTAATTGGTTGGAGGTATTGCCTAATGGATTGTTGAAGGTAACTACTGTGCATGTGTCCGAAGAAAACCGTTAAATTATAATTAATATAAATATCACATGATTGTGAGTAGCATAGTGGAAATTTAAAATGTTACACTAATTTTTTATATTGTGCAATGTAGCTTTACAATACACGCCAAACATTCTGGCAATAAAAAGTAAGTAAGTGATAAACTGGATTTGAACTTGATATCCAATTTAGATGGGTAACAATTATATACTGGTGAAGTTTCAGGAGCAATGATAACATTTCGTGTAACAACAAACTTCCACTATGCTATTGTGAGTAAATGACAATTGGGAAAACGAAACGAAAAGAAAAAGAAAATGTTGAATAATTTGTTCATTTTGGTTTTTATTTCTTTTTATTTTTTTATTTTTTTTTGAAAATTAAGTTTACTTCACTTTCAATAGCAGACGGAAATCAGTTCTTTATATAATCGAATGAAGAGGGTGAGTGCACTGGTCATTAATATCACGTCCATGTAACAACCTACTGAAAATTTTCCAATATCTGTGCGGCGCTAAATTTGGCACCTTTAATGAACATTGCACACCTAGTCCCATTTGGTCTTGTAAGAATGAAAATATAAGAAAAATCAAATCATAGAACTCAATATCCTTCTATGATTTAATTAATATATCACCTTACCACGAAATTAAAGCACAAGTTTACTACGTCAAACCCAAAATTGGCACAATAATTTTTCAATATTGTGACGTAAATTTAATTTTTAAGCATAACATACATTTTGAGATCACCTGGGAGGAATAAACTTGATAATTGAAGAAACGTTGTTGGATATTATAATTTGGTTTTAGATCTTAAATTATTTTTATAAATACATGTAAAATTTTTTTTTCTCAATGTTGAATTTAAAGATCGAGCATTACCCAAAAATACTGGACTAATTACCTGAAGGTAGTATAATTATGTAAACAATTTCTACAATATAATATACACGCTTGAATAATTGATAATTCATTTTCCGTCAAATTATAAATCAACCTTATCAATCGATGAAGGGACTTTTGAGATGCAGCATCTGAATCAATAAACGTTGTCATTTAACGTCTACCGTCTGAGAGGAATTGGGATGCATACATGATAAACAGTGAAATAGATCGACCAACTGCTATTCTTTTAATTAGTTTATATATATATATATATGTATTTCGGAAAAACAAAGTTGCAGATGTGGAGATAATTTGAATTACTGTAAAATTTGTTTCCATTTTCGAAAGTCAAAAAAAAATTTAACATTTGGAATACCCGTTTGTTTGAATTGTTTTAATATGGTGGATTCTCAAGATTTTATTTTTTCAAAAGAGAAAGAATGTTGTGCTTCTTTCACAACATTTCACAAGATAATTTTGGATAAATTGAACAATTGATGTTCACAAAAAAATTACCAAATTTGTATGATACAATAAAAAAGCGGAAAAGGCAATATTATCAACCAACAAATCAAATTTGCAGCTTCATGAGATTCATCTTTTATTTATTTCGTCTAAGTGCTCTTTATGCTGCCATTAATGGAACCACAACGTTGATATTACCTTTCCGGATTTTTTTCAAATGCCAAATATGTTTGATACAATAAAATAAATAAATGTTGTCGATAAACGCCTCTTGTCTAACAATCAACTTAACGTTTTTTAATGCCCTTTGGCGAAAATGAATTGTATATATTTGGTATTATTAAAAAAATTCTCATTCAGTATAACCTTCGTTGCATTATTGTTTACAAAGATATTTTTTGCAAGAAGTTTATTCTACATGCTGATATAATGAAAGCCGAGCAAATTAAATTCTCGAGAAAGATCTATTGTTCTACGCATCTAAATGATAACAGATTGTTAAAAATGGTTCTTCATCCAATCAATGAATGTTTATCGTCGATTTTTTTATAAATTAAGTGCAAAATCATTTTTTTATAAATGTTTTTAACTTTTGAAATAATCTATTCATAGATTATTCAAGGGTGTTCTTTTATAATGAATTTTAAAATTCTTCGATTCAAGTTTTATCAAAAACTTTTTATTTTATATTTATTTTGTCTTTTATTTTGTCTTGTCTCTACATCAAACGCACAAAATAAAAATTCGGCTGAACAAAATCAAAACAGTCTTATACCTAACAGCATAATACAGTTTCCGATAAAGGATCCAACTCAACCAAAAAGTGGTTTAACTTGTCCTGTTTCTGGAACTTATAATGACGCTAAAATATATCCCAGCTTTTTCTCTCAATTAGGAACGTTCTTTCCTATCATGGGCCTTCTTTTTACTGTAGCTGTTTATGGTACAACATCCGTGTTTGGATATATAACGACATGTCTACTTGATGATATTGTTATTTTGGGGACATCCTTAGTACTCATTATTTCGTGGTACAACTTCGCCAAACCAGTCTGGTTGGCTTTATTAGCAAGGTTATTGCAAGATGCTTCGAACAAGAGTGGTGTTGTAAAAACTTTTTTACAAGTAAAAAATGCAGTTGTAATTGTTGGGTCTGATTCTGGACCAGTTGGAGATAGTTACAATCATGAACTCTTTGTACTTTGTTGTGTTTTTATTGTAACTGCTGTAGTTGTTCTGGCTGTACTGGGGTATCTTAGATATGATTTTCACCAAAAACGAGAACTTCTTAGCAATCCAAATAATAAACTCTACAGACGTTTCTACAAAAGATTAAAAGCCGTCATTATTTGGATTTACTTTATCCATTCATTTGAAGTCATAATTTATACTATTTTGCAATTAGTGTATGTCTTTAGAGTACTTTTATACATACAAGGAGGAGGGGAAATTGGTCTTGTTGAAGTTCTAAGAGCAATTGATTTGCTAACCATAAATTATCTCATGAAGATTTCTTATTTCATCTCAACCACTACTTTAATTACCTCGTATTACTTTCCTAATTTAGAACTACGTTTCATAAAATTCATAAAAAGGATTTTCAGAAAAGATACTGGTAAACTTACTGAAGATGAAAGAAGGTATTACCAAGGTTTTATTCGTAAGAAAACTTTCTTTCTTACCGCTGCCCTTTCTTTAGGCCAAATATTTTTTGAATATTACTGGTTTTGTACTCCTTCAATTATCAGCACAGTTTTCAACACCATTCTTACCACAGTTTTGACTCGTTCGATCGCATCATTCTTTTCTAATCAAGGAATAGTTAAATACATTTATAAAAATAAAGAAGGTGTTGAACATGTCAAAGATGATAACGATATTGAAGATAAAACAAAAGTTTACGCAGAAGTTGGCATTATGGATATTTATAATGTTAAAAGTTTTAATATAAATAAGGAAAAGTATAATGGCGACAGTGTTATATGTCCTAGTAATTTGGAAAAATATTCAGTTGATTCTACGGGTAATTATGTTTATGTTTATACAAAATCCACAGAAAAAAATGTAGTGGAAACGATTAATTCAAAGGGTAATGATGAGGGTGAGATTAATGAATTAGATAAAGAAGCAAATACTAAGAAGCCCAAGTCTAAGCAATATTACTACGTTATGCCTGTTCAACAATCTATGTACTTTGTTAAACTTGAATTTGATGAAAGTAAAATCAAGAAAGTAACGAATGTATACGAGGAGGATTACAATGATAAAAAGAACAAATACATCGAAACAAAAAAATTATACAAGGATATAATGAAAATACAAAACAAAAAAAAAAAGGATAAAGAAACTATCAAGTTCCAAGAAATAAAGAATAAATACGAGAAAATAGAGGAAATTTACAATGAGAATAAATACGAGAAAATCAAGAATGAATTTGAGGAAATAAATAGTAAATACGAGGATTCAGATGAAAGTGCAAAGGAGGAGATGAAAATTGAATACGAGTACAAAAAGGAAGAATACGAGTACGAGACAAGAAAGAAAGAATACAAGGAATTGTGGAAAGAATATGAGGAGAAAAAGAAAGAACACGAGAAAGAATACAAGAAAATGTGTAAAGAATATGAGGAAAAAAAGAAAGAAGACGAGGAAATAAATGATGAACACGAGGAAATAAGTGATGAATACAGTAAAATAGAAAAATACAAGGAAGTGATGAAAGAACACGAGAAAAAGATCAAAGAACACGAGAAAAAGATGAGAGACAATGAGAAAGGGTGGAAAGAATATCAGCAGCAAAAAAAGAAAAAATACGAGGAAGTTTACAAATACGAGAAAATCAAGAATGAATACAATGAAATAAATAGTAAATACGAGAAAGCAGGAGAAAGTGCAAAGAAGGAGATGAAGATTGAATATGAGTACAAAAAGAATGAATACGAGTACGAGAAAAAAAGGAAAAAACACAAGAAAATGTGGAAAGAATATGAGGAAAAAAAGAAAGAATATGAGGAAATAAATGATGAATACGAAAAAATAGATGATAAAGGATGGAAAGAATTCGAGAAAAAGTGGGAAGAATATCAACAAAAAAAGAAAAAATACGAGGAAATAAAGGATGAATATGAGAAATTAGAAGAAGATAAAAAGGGGGCGAAGAAGACTGAGTATGAGGAAAAAAAGAAAGAATACGAGGAAATAGCAGATGAAAAAATTAAAGAATACGAGAAAAAGTGGGAAAAATATCAACAAAAAAAGAAAAAATACGAGGGAATAAAGGATGAATATGAGAAATTAAGAGATGAAAAGGTGGAGAAGAAGTCTAAGTACGAGGAAACAAAAGAAGAATACGAGAAAATAGCACATAAAAAATTTAAAGAATACGAGACAAAGTGGGAAGAATATCAAGAAAAAAAGAAAAATTACAATGAAATAAAGAACAAATATGAGAATCCAGAAGTAATTAATAAAAAGAAGCCTAAGGACAAGAAAGTATACGATGAAAAAAAGAGAGAATATGAGGAAATAAAAGATGAAAGAATGAAAGAATACGAGGAAATAGCAGATGAAAATATGAAAGAATACAAGGAAAAGTGGGAAGAGTATCAACAAAAAAAGAAAAAATACGAGGAATTAAAGGATAAATATGAAAAATTAGGAGGAGATGGGAAGACTGAGAATGAGGAAATAAAAAAAGAATACGAGGAAAAAAAGAAAGATTACGAGGAAATAAAAGATAAAAAAGTGAAAGAATACGAGAAAATGTGGGAAGAATATCAAGAAAAAAAGAAAAATTACAAGGAAATAAAGGATAAATTTGAGAAATTAAAAGGAAATAAAAAGGTGGCGAAGAAGACTGAGTACGAGGAAATAAAGAAAGAATACGATGAAAAAAAGAAAGAATATAAGGAAATAAAAGATAAAAAAAAGAAAGAATACGAGGAAATAGCAGATGAAAAAATGAAAAAATACAAGGAAATAGCAGATGAATATGAGAAATTAGAAGGAGACGAAAAGGTGGCGAAGAAGACTGAGTACGAGGGAAAAATGAAAGAATTCGAGGAAAAGTGGAAAGAATATCAACAAAAAAAGAAAGAATACGAGGAAATAAAGGATGAATATGAGAAATTAGGAAATAAAAAGATGGCGAAGAAGACTGAGTACGAGAAAGAAAAGAAAGAATACGAGGAAGAAATTAAAGAAAAAAAAAAAAAATATGAAAGTAAAAAGAAAGAATATGAGGAAATAAAAGGTAAATATAAGAAATTAAAAGGAGGGACTGAAAACCAGGAAGAAATTAAGAAAAAAAAAGTTGAATATGTAAGTAAAAAGAATGAATACAAGAAAGAAATATGGGAATACAAGAAAATAAAGGAAGACGAAATGGAGAATCCACGGAAAGGGTACATGAAGGCAAAGGAAGATTACGAGAAGGCAACAGTTGATTACGAGAATGCAATGAATAATGATACTAATTACGTGAAGCTAATGAGTTATGTGAACATAATTGATAAGAATAAAGGAATGGAGGAGTACAATGAAAAAAAGGAAGAATTGAAATACGAAAAAATAAAGAAAGAATACAAGGAAAAAAAGAGAGATTATGAGGATGCAATGAGAAAAAAGGATAAAGAGATAATGAAAATGCTCGGGGATGGAATGGAGAATGAGGATGGAAATGGAGGACAGAGCGAAGTGGAGTATTTAAATAATATTAAAAAGGCAACGGAAAGATACGAGAATGATCATAAGGAAGATGAACAAACAAAGAAAGTTTATGTGGAAAAATTGAGAGAATACATTAGCGCAAAGCAAAATAAATACGATAAACAAAGGATAAATATAGAGACTGAGACAAGGATAAAATACCGGGAAGCGAGCGAAAAATACATTAAAGATAAGGTGAACAAAATAATGGCTAAATACAAAGATTCACCGGTGGAAGAATCCGAGGAAGCAATTGCAAAACACGAGATAGATGAAAATGATGAAATAATGAATGATGATGAGCCGGTGAAAAAATCCAAGGAAGTAATTGAAAAACACGAGATGAAAAAAATTGAATACGAGAAAAAATTAAATGAATGTGAGAAAACATTGAAAGAATACAAGCAACAAATGAGGAAACGCAGTTATGGTCATACACATGGTTATACAAATTTTAAAGATTTGTGTGATAAGCAAGAGAGAATAAGAGATAAAATGGTTATGTTAGAATATGAGTTAAAAATGATTGAATTTGAGGAAATAAAGAGAGAATACTATTTCATTAAAGAAAAAAATGACAGGGATATAATTTATAAAGTATACCTGGAAAAAGAGAAAGAATATAGGGAAGCTAAGAAAAAATTCGATGACTTAACGAAGAAAATAACTAAAAAATACGATGATTTAATGAAAGAATACGAGAAAGCAAAAGAGAAAAAAAAGAAGGAAGAAACAAAAAAAGAATATAAGGGAAGAACCAAGGAAATTAAGGAAAAAATTAAGAATGAAATCGATAGAATTAGAAATGAAATAGGTTGTGATGGAATTGCATTTCACAACTATGCTGGTGGAAGTTTCAAAAAGCAAAATGAAATCATTAGATTCAAACCGAAAGAACCGAATGACCTTGAAAAAGGACTTTCTATTAGTAATAATAAGAGTATTGAATGTATGAGAATCGAAGGTCACGTCTTGATCGACATACTTGAGACAGGATTCCTAAATTATATTGTTTATTCTCACCGTTCTTCTAAAAAGCATGGATTACTAAAATGGTTAAAGTTGAATTACAATCCATATAATTACTTGTCTCACTTGAATTACAATGCTTACAATCCCTATAATTACTTGTCTAACTTGAATTACAATAATTACAATCCATATAATTACTTCTCTACTACTTTCCATAAAGAGGAAAACCCTTCAAAAGAGGAAAACCCTTCAAACGAGGAAAACCCTTCAAAAGAGGAAAACCCTTCAAAAGAGGAAAACTCTTCAAAAGAGGAGGACATTAAGAAATTTATTCTGTGGGATCTAAACTTCTCATCGGAGAATCAGGATGAGCTAGAATTCGCATGGGAGAAACAGGAATCAGAGAAACTGGTGAATGTCGAAGTTAAGACGACACTGGGACTGAAGGAACAAGAACTGATGGAGCTGAAACAGGAACAAAAGAAAATAGAACCAAATTCCTCACTCATTGGAGGTTTGGCTTTGAACCAATCCCTAATTTCTAATTCTATTAGCATAATTACATTGTGATCATAATAGCTTTTTTCAATGTCATGTATTTTCTTAATTTTTAAAAGAATTCATATATATATATATATATTATTCTATATTAACATAATTACATCGTGATGGTCCATCACGGTTATTATATCGAAGATTCTTTAATTGAATTTAGAAAAAATAAACTAATAAACAAACTGCATAATCTATAACTTAACCTTTTTCCTTCTCTCAATTTCATTGTGATAATAGATTTGATGTTATCAATTTGATCATGGAATATTTGAAATAGAATTCGCACAGTTGCTGTGTGATTTTAACATTTGATCTTGTCACCTTTTATCATTTTATATTTTATTGTATTCTTGCTATATATGTTAAGTAACTGCTCTGTTGTTATTATTAATTCTAGTTCTATTTCATATTCCTAGAGGATCGATCATCTAAAGAGGAAGTTTTTTTAATAATGAACGTGTTTGTTTCTATATACAATAATAAATCTAAACGGGGAATTTCTCTATTAATTCCAGAATACACGCATAAGCATTAACTATTCCTTCTTTCCAAACATCATAACATAAACTTTATCGTCAGGAAGAAGAAACATGCTAAATTCCACTCTACTGTTTCTTCACCGATTAGAATCTCTGGTGATGTCTTTGGCTAGTACGAATATCTGTTCTGGAGTAATGCTTCTTTCAGAAGTTCCGCACAAGTGAGATGGTGACTACAAAATTTAATGATAAATTGTTGTGGTTTTTGTAAAATTACCTCCTAGAAGTTAAAGAAAGCTATCATGAATTCCAGACTCAGAACATTAGCATCTGACTTGGGTTTTATTAAATGCCTTAATAAACTAGATTTTTGCCCTACAAAAAGTTTTGATATTTATTTTATCATTAAAGCATTCTTACTTTTTACAATAATAGACTTAAAACTAGTGATGTTTGCCAGTAGAAAAAAATTAGCCGGCCAAGCCAAATAACTCTAAACCGATTAAGAAAGAACTCGGGATAAAATAATTTGCTAGACAAACTGCAAACTTTTTATAAATTCACTGAAAATCGGTTGTTCTTATCATTTTACCAAATCTATTTCTTTCTCTTTGTTAATAAATCCTAGTTGACGGGGACTTCTCAGATATTACTAAGATTTCCAGTATTATTATTATTATCATTATCATTATTATTACTATTTAATGGTTCACTCATTGTTAAGGTTATTTATTTTATTCGTTATGAATTTGAGTATTCATTCGAATTACATTGAATTTTAGAAACTTTGACCCTTATTATTATTACTTTCTTATTATTCTTTTATCCTATATACTACAAATATTGCATTATTATTTATTTTTTTAGAGCAAATGAATGTTTTTTCTTTGACATTTCTAAGTAATGCATCTCAACTAAGTGTCTATGCTACTGAGTTCTGTACTAAAATTCCATATGTAAAATGATTGTTAAAAGAAATTTTTTTTAGCCATATCATTACTTAAAACATATTTTAAAAAATTTTAATTCGTTACATTCTTAAAACACGCATTTCATAACACATATATTCTTCATTGCTCAAAATTCATATAATTTAAAATGTTCTTAAACATGCCTTTTCTTCCCATTGTTATTCTTCTTTGCTAGCGTGTTAACGTAATTTGTGGTGAACCAATCAGTTTTTATAAACTGTGGTAATAATAATCCACGGAAAACAAATAATAAAATACGACTTTCAATAACAAAATAAATGATCATGATGAGAGTAAGAAATATACAAAATTAATTATAGAAAAAACTCTATCTATTTTTTCAATTTCTTCACTTTCTACCAGAAGATCCTCGCGTTTAACTTCCACAACAGTCTATCTAGAGTTTACAGCAATTAATAATTCGGGTTCTCTGAAGTTTTTGGTTATTATTATATTTTAAGCCATGAAAAATTCGTTGATTCAACTTTATTTTCCCGTAGATATCTCAAAATTATGATTTTGAAGTTAGTAGTCGTAACTACAGGGGTCAATTGTAACTCACCAATAAAATTTTTTCGATCAACATGGAATTTTATATTTATTAATATGTAAAGTGAAAAAAATCATGTTTGTATGCATACACTTGCACAATTTAAACAATTTAATCAAATCATTTCTTGAATTATAAAAAATAAAAAGTATACGGAAAAACCATTATTTTGACATATTTTTTGCCAGGGTGTAATGTCCACCACATCTCAACTTTTAGAATAATGAATTTAGGAGCATGGTAGAAGTTTGATTTTATTGGACAAAATTAAATTTATATTTTTACCGAAATCAAGATTTATATGTTATGTGTAACATTGATTACAACGAACAAAAAAAATTAATTGATGATCCGCGAATAAATGAGTGAGTCGTACATAGTAAAAAACGAGGGAAAATTGACACAAAAACAACTAATTGAGTTCCACCACATAATTTTTTTTTGCATCCACAAACAAAACAAATCCCAAAGAATATATTATCAGTTTTTTTTTGTCTTTACTTAAGTAAAAAAAAAAGTTTACTCTTTAGCACCTGTAGATTTTTAAGAATGTTCATATGAAAATTTTTACATGTTCCGTGTAACAGTCGTATTTATTTATTAAAAACATATGATTTATTGTCTTTAAAAAATAAGAACAAATAAAGAAAAAAAATTTTTTCTTATTAATTAGATGATGCATTTTCAGCTGCCTGCCTTTTGTGATGTTGACTAAATCGGGATATCCATGACTTAATTTGTTGAAGAGAAGGAATATTTTCAGCTTCTAATTCGTCAGTTTCAACAAGCCTTTGAAGTTCTTTTAACATATCCTCAGGAGAGTATTTTTTACTTTTTTCTATATTACCAGCTAGAAACATGCTTTTTAATTGTTCAATCACGTTTAAATCAAACTTCTTACCACCTTTCTTTCCATACTTTTGATTACTCTTTAGAGCAAATCCAGGTTTCAATTTTTCATCCAAAAGGTTTTTCAAATTCATATCATTTAGCAACAGAGAATTATTGTCTGAATCAGGATAACTGTATTGATTTAATCTTTTTTTAATTTCTACAGTCGCACCTGTCTATTTGCATACCATATATTTGCATAATCTGTTCGTTTGCATAACAATAGCTTAGTCCCACATTGGGACTTATGAACTATTTGCATAGCATAAACGTGCATATGCATCAAAAGTGATCCTGATTCTACCAAGTCCCCACAACGTATATATGCATATTTATGCTATAAAAGGAAAAGAATCGACTAGAATTTATTTTATTATTATTTTTCAAAAAAATCATTAATAGCACTTTGTTTCATAGAATCAGAATAAATCTTT